AGCATCATCAGCGAATAGCAAATTATACCGCGATTTTTATTTATATTGCCTCAAGATGAATTGTTCCCCACGATTTCAACACCGAAATAAAAAATTTTCTTCAGAAATTTGAGAGATACATCAGCCACTACAAGAATTCCAGTAGAAAGTTACCAATAACTGACGGACTTACGTCGAGCGTCTTGGGAAGCCAGCTAGCACGAAGGATCTCGTAGCGCTGATCTTGTTACGAGGACGCAAAGTGAGACAAACCGACGTGGGGCCGGTAATTAATGACCTCCACTACTGCAAGCTTCTGCAGCAGACACCGCGCAGACAAAAACTTATTTTCGTGATGAAGCAAGTACATTTTTTGCGTATTTGCAGCTTAAGTTGGTTCCTTATGAAGCAAGTAAATTTTTTTTGCGTTTATGCGGAAAAGTAAAATACTCCGATGCGCTTCTTATAAAAAGAAAAAATGACCTCCACTACTGCAAGCTTCTGCTGCAGACACCGCGCACACAAAAACTTATTTTCGTGATGAAGCAAGTAATGTTTTTGCGTATTCGCAGCTAAAGCTGGAAAAGTAAAATACTCCGATGTGCTTCTCATAAAAAGAAAAAATAAATGATAAATAGCGACGATTTTTCCAAACATCGTGTAAAGTGTATCAACTAAGAAAATTCTTCCAATTCACGAAAAAATCTGTTATAAGGCTTACCCTCAATCGTCTAACCAAGATATTCGAACATATACACGTACAATAAGTACGCAATGAAGCTCAAATTTATTTTATATCACAAAAAATCGATGGCTAAATTATTGAAAAAAACGCTGTCCAAAAATGAAGTTCACACCTTCATATCCGTGCCAAGATTTCGTCATTCGTACATAATAGAAGTATAACATAAAACGAAAGTTGAACGTTACGTACTCTCAGGCACGAAGCGTGGGAAAGTGGAGACAAATTTCTTCGTCATATAATCGCATTAAATAAAAGAGAAGACACATGCGAGCTGAGGCACTACATGAAATTTTAAACGGGATGGCCGAATCCGGGCAAAAGAAGCCATGACGGGGCTCTCATCCCAGTGAAAATTTACAGACGCGGCAGCTTCTGATTTGGAGTACCAGAAGCTGAGGCGACTCTAAATTTTGTTAGGGATGACACGACTTCATAAGTACTGAATGTAAGAGCTTCATTTACTTTGTTGAAACTCTTTAACTTCACCAGCGCGAATGAAAAAAAGGGAAACGAACATTTACAATTCTTGATTAGGCGGGAAATTTGATTATCAGAGAATGTGTGAGCAAGCTTAAAATGGATAAGGAAATGGCATATCATATTGTGCTCTAAGCTACAATAGCAAAAGTGTATTTCGGTATTTCAGACAGTGCTATGATACGGAAGACAAATTAAGTTTATTAGTGAAAAAATATTTCAGATCCAAAAGACAAAAAAAAAACAGTTGCTCAATAAACTCGTTCTTTATTTTATAAGCGCCCACAACCATTGCAAATTTTGAAAGAGCTTGATAAAATATTTAATATTTAACATGATCTGCGAGGTTGAAATTTATTTCAACTAGCAAATGAACAAAACTGATTCAGAACAAACTTCACATTCGAGAAATCCAAACCTCCACTTTTTTAGATAGAAAAAACACCAGGGTTTTTGTGGCTGCGTCAAAGTGCATGTTCTTCATGTTACATAGCATCACAAGAGTCGGGTTCACTCGCACCAGAGTGTAGCATAGCTACCCTTCACTCGGCCTCATGAGATCTTGTTAAGCAATGAAGCCGTAAGGTCAGGACAGGCAATCAGCCTCGTCTGTTGTCACTATTCACACTGAATTGTGCATGAATATGATCCATCAAAGGCAAGAGATAACATCGATGCCAAACCACACACCCAATCAAGTTTCAACAGAATTGAGTGATTCAATAACCGTTAGCGAGCGGCAATAACAAAGGAATAAATATCAACGTATTTGAAATCTCACGACCGAATAAAACAGATTTTCCAATACTTATTATGAAGAACAAGTAACCTACATGGATAATTAACACTACAGTGACAGATATAATTAATAAGAATAAAACTAAAGACAGTAGCATAAAGTATTATGACAAGAAATTGCGCATAAATATATTGTAAGCTGACAATTAGCTCGGGATCATGACGCAGAATCAAACCATGTGCTGCAAGGAGGAGCAAAACAAACACGGCCGTTAAATTAAACAGTAAGGCCTTTGTCTCTTGACCGTTCTACCAGTGCAGTGACGCGGCCAACTCTTTCATGCCAAAGCTGTTTCTGTAGCTGTAATAATATAATTGATGTATGAATGGCAAATCAGTTTCTGAGGGAAATGAGGTCAGCAGATGCAACCTGCGAAAATTGTTTCAGGCGCAATATTAGTTATTATGGCACATTTTTACCATATTACCAAACTCATCATCAATATGGGCAAGATGCCGATATTCTAGGAAAAACTTGGCTTATATCGGTCTGAAATATCTCAGTCCTACTATATATTTACATTCTTTTGATCTTCTTTGTGGAAGACACTTGTAAACAATCTATTCTTTCAACGACCAATATATTGCACCACCAGGCTCGGTATATATAGACAGGCTAGGCTTACGAAATGCGAAAACGTGCTGTAGGCAAAACCAAAAGAATATATACAAAAAGTGACAAGAATTTCTCTATTTTCACGAAACTCAACCTCAGCATCAACTTACATAAGTTAGATTTCTGAATTATAACTGACATCAAGTACAATCTTTGCATAAGCGAGCACGAAGTTCGATCTCCGTATAATCTAGCATGAAGTTCGTTCAATCTCTGTATGATCTGGCATGAAGTTCAATCCATGTATGAACTGATATGGAACTCGATCTCTGTAGGAACTGAAGCGACGTGAAAGGACATGAAGTGACTTTTGTGTAGGTAATGGCATGATGCGAGATTCGTGTAGTGTAGACTGTAGGCAATGCCATATAGCAAGAGACCGACAACAGTTCCGTAAGAGGGGCGACGGAGGTCACTTTAGTTGGGAAGTGTACTGGCATTTGTAGACTCGTCAAGCACAAGGCAACACACAATCGTACATGGAGGCCATAGTCACATATGACTTATGTGGTCCAGCCGCCATCATATAAAAAGAAATTTAACATTATTTAACATTAAGGTATAACATTTATATTATTTTTATTACGAGTGTGAGAGGATTCTTTTAAGAATGTTGTCGTGACGTCAGCCGAAACGATGGAAGTTAGTTATCTATCAACCTATTCATCCTACAGATCGAGCTGGTTAGCTGGGTGCCTAGGTTCTCCAATTTGATGAATTCAAATAACGTGTGCGAAATTTCCACGGTGAAAGAGAGGCAAATAATTTAATTATTTTTACATCCGAATCCAAATTTCGTACGAGTATCACAAAAACGCTTTCGAGCATCATATCTTGATTTTGTTTCGTGTACCAACAAAATACAGTAACGGCACTTTGTAGCGTTCGTCATTACGACCAACATCAATAGAAATTAACACATAAAAAGAAAAGTATCAATAATTCCTGATGTCAAAAATTCGATCAAGTAAAACAAATGATATGCAAACCTCACTACTCGATCGTATAAGCAGACTGGTTTGGATAAGCCGGCATGTTTCCTAGAGTTCAAAATGATTATAATATGATATGATAATATAAATTATAGTACTAGATATAGGATCAACAGTCATATATAGCAACACCAATCAAATACGGATTACCAGTCAAATACAGAAAAAACATGAATCTACGTCTAAAAAAATTTAAATCTCAAAATAGCTTCGATCTTTCAAATTGTCCAGGACTTTGACGGAAAGAAAATTATCTTGTGGCGACAATGGACAGCAATTTAGGTAAGAGCCTCACAGCCTGCTTGCAAGAACTGAGCTTCCCGTGTAAGGGGATGTCCATTTGTTGTAATGACGTTATCAGCACCGTGCATCGATGCGACAGTGCTGGACTACACCGTTCTTTTCCCGAGCTGGCGACTCTGCTTAGAGAGTGTGAAATTTGCATCGAATTATTGGCATTTCTCAATCTGTATCTCGCTAAAAACAAGCAATGGCACAATTAAAACACCTAGTTGTTCTCATACGAAAGCAACTAGTTAGATGAATGATTAGATGTCAAACTCGAGTAAATGAAATGAAAGTCAAAACAGGCATAAAAACAAGTATTTATTAAATGCCCCTCAACACGAACAACGAAGCGCTTCAAAAATGTTTTTTTTTTTCTAACTGTCATAAAATATTGCCGGAATATGATTGATAATATTAAATATAAATAATAAAGACTCAACGGAATTTATTATCTCGTTGAATATTTCAAAGAAACATGAAAATTATAACAAACGAGGAGCGTTAAAGCATACGAGCTTGTATGCTATAGGTTGACACTTGACACGCAACAGACGGCATGACAAGCGACGCCCACACAAGGTTCGTAGTTTCGTACATTACAGCTGCAATTAGGTTAGGTTAGGTTAAGTTAAGGTGTGTAAGTGGATCATGGGCTCACCTTAAACGGACGTGTTCTAAAGCTTGTCCCACCCTGACAACACAACGCCACGATCAAATAAGGCAAGACACTCAAGATGGTCTGTCATATCAATCCTTCTAATTTTGATCACAAAGCCAACCTTGGCAACCAGCACGCTTGTAAGGCAAGTTTCTAGGCTTAAATTAAGATGCCAGTATAATTTACATCACCCAGAACAGAAGATAATTCTGCGCGTCGAGTGCTCGATAAGAAAGAAAGCAACATCGAAGACCGCGGAGGTTGCATACTTCGTCGTTATCATAGATAATATTTCTAATATATTGTTTACAGAATATTAAGAAGCCTGGATAAAATGCAAACTCTATCGCAGTAAATTTGACTAACACTAAGAAATTAGGAATTCTGCTTACATTCAAACAAAGTCGACAGCTGTTCTTATGACAAATGAAGATCCCGAACACCTACCTCCATTATTGAGGAAGATCCGCGAGAGATAAGTGCCGCCTTTGCACTTGATCAGCACCATCTTAGAAGACAAGGATTCTGCCAACCCCGAGTCAGTGTCGCTCGGTATCATCTCTACCCCGGCCGTCGAGTTTCCAAGACTCGCCGCGCTGGACTTGTCAGCCGATGCGTTTGAATGCGACCAAGAACCAAAGCTGTTGGTTCTCGGTCTCATCGAGTCTTCAGAACTTTTCTTGATGGAAACCTTTTCTTCGACACTCATTTTTTGATCAGATTCACTGCCGGCGGAGTTCCAAGACGTCGAGTTGTCATTGGTCATCGAGAACTCAGCAGAGTTCCAATCACGGGAATATTGGCAACCGCTCCGTTGTTTAGGATCGTCTGTCAATTGGGAATGGTTTGAGTCAACATCAGCGGGCTCCTTAACGTTACTGCTAGACGCTGATGACTGAACACTACAAGCTATATCATTGATTAAAATGTTAGTGTTGCAATTCGTCACGCGATCACTTCTCATATTCGCGGAGGGACGCAGTGACTCTTTGTTATTGCTGATGTCATCTTCACAGTCGGTTATACCCGGGGAGCTTGGACGCATGTATTTAAGTTCTTTTAAATGCAATAATTTAACAGGGAGTCTTGATTTCAGCCGAGAATCATTTCGGCTGTCACACCGTTCATTTTCATTGACACAATTTAGACCCTCGCTTGTATCGTTTTCCAAGAGACTTTCGCGAGAAGAGAAAAAGCGACGAGGACTAACCGGAAGCCTTGAATTGACATGGTTATTATCAACGACTGGCTTGGGACTAAGGTGTTCGTATCGAAACTTCGTTTCTCTGGTGGGGGTGAAAGGACTCTTTATAACACCGGCTTGCGTTTGCTGGTAAGGGTTATGATACCCTGGAGATGGATTGCCAGACTGATTCAAATAAAAATTATGTTTAGGGCTGCTTAAACCGATTCTCGGAATAGACAAAATCTCCTCAATTTCTTTGGCGTCTTCGCGGCTGATCTTACGGCTGAGCTTTGGACTCGCAGGTTCCAGGGGCTCAGTTTTTGGAGGAAGATTGATGACTTTGCGCACTATTTCTTGTGCTGGCTTCGTGAGCCTGGCCAAAGCTCTGTGACGTGGGCTGCCGTGGGGCGAGGCGATAACTTGAGGCTGCTGTTTGCCAAGCCCGTATATATTTGCAATCCTGTTTGTAAGTCTTGGGCTGCCGTTGTTATTCGAGATCAACGGCACACGGTGGGGACTGCCAGGAGCATCGTCCCATCCACCAAGCGGCTTGTCCTTAGTTAGGAGAAGCAGTTCCCCGTCGTTATTGTTGTTGAGGCGATGAGGAGCTCGCAGGGGAGCTTGAATGGAAACTTCTTGTGCTTGAGGCATTGTGTTGGGCTTCTTAAAATCACGCAGTTATTTTGTTGTCGATTCTTTAAAACAGAGATGATTTCCGCTTCATTTGCGGATTCACGAGGATGAATAGCAAATAATCAGCTGAACCAAATGCACATCGTGCCATCATTCAAATTCATGAATTAGAAAATGCCTAGAGAACGATTGTTTCTCTCAAAAGCAAAGGAGAAACACTTCACAGCAGACTTTTTTCCTTTTACAATAGTATATAACAATTTTAGACAACAGCAAACAGAGTTCGATTAACACCAAAATATAAACATTTTTGTTAACAATGTTTCGAATACGCTCTACTATGACTTAAGGCTCAAAGTGACGATATTATCACGCTGCAGTAAAAGCTTAAACCACCAAATACTTGAATCAGAATTGTTTAACATGGAACTCGACAAAGTTACTCTCCTTATAAGGCCGAAACGATCGCTCGACAAAGCCGAAGTTACGAGACAAACACCAAAGGCTTTGAGAACTGTAAGTTTAGAAACCCAATCTAAGGAACATGTACGTGATGCCAAACTAGCGATAAATCAGGAAGTTTATCGTGTTCACAGCGGGGTTGTGCTAGCAAATAACACCTGAGTCGCGGGATTTGGCACGAGGCGTAGGATACTGTATAATAGGAATACTGACCGTCAGAGTCTTTCTGTGGAGGAAACACATGAGAAAATTACTAATAAATCATATCGTAGAATTTGTATATAAGCAATTCATTCACTAGTTGGCTCAAATAAAAAATTAATCAAGGATTTAAAAGTAAAGAAAGTACATCAAAGAAATTATGGTTAATTTGCTTGATCTTTTCTTTCCTTTTAAATTTTTGAAATTAATTCATTATTGGTGAAAGTCTTATTGGTGAATTCATTATTGGTGAAAGTCTTATTGGTAAATTCATTATTGGTCAAGAAACCGAAAAATCAATTGCGAGGATTCAATGGTACCCTACGTTTCTCAATCTCAAAACATTGCAGTTCAGTTAAATGAGCTTCGATTTTGATCCTCGTTACGACCAGTTCAGTTTGAGGGAGTAGGAACCTAAACATTTCTCAGTGGCATAGCAACGTGGCAGCTGAGCCAGTGAAGGACAGAAGTTCAGTGGCACTACGGCTCAGAGGAAAAGATCCACACTATCAGTGGCAGAGCAGTGAAGGACAGAAGTTCAGTGGCACTGCGGCTCAGAGGAAAGATACACACTCTCAGTGGCAGAGCAGTGAAGGACAGAAGTTCAGTGGCACTGAGGCTCAGAGGCAAGATACACACTCTCAGTGACAGAGCAGTGAAGGACAGAAGTTCAGTGGCACTGAGGCTCAGAGACAAGGTCTACACTCTCAGTGGCAGAGCAGGAGCCACTGATAAGCTCAACAAACAGGCAGCTTTGATAAAGCCTCCCCAAACATTCCCTTCTGCGCAGTATGGCGCTCTGAGACTGGCTCTACTATGTCCAGAAGATAGCGGGCACAACACGTCTTATAACATAATTTACTTTAATACTAACGGTTTTTTCAAATAACGGCAAGTGCTGCAGGGTGAACCGATTTAAATTTTTTTTGAGCCAAGAAACAATTGTTATTTGGATGCATATTCCGGAGAAAATAGTTCCAAGACATTGCGCTTTGCGTAGACGAGAGTTTGTGCAGGGCAAGGCAGTGACCGGACATGAGATTTAGTTGATCTGTTAAAGCCATCAACCGTCTCTGATCCGTGACATCATCGTCTGGGGGCTAAAACTGCATATAAAAACTAACATTAATCCAGATAAGCTAAGTTTGCAACATCTCCAGGAAAGAACACATGAAGATAACTGATTTTGAACGTTGCGCTAAGTGTACAGTATTTTAATTTTGAGGTAATGGCTGTATATAGACAAGAAACACGACATTTTATGTTGCTAAAAAATATCGTGTTTAACAACACAAGCTCAACCGCAACCACGGGAAAAAAATGCAAAAATAACAATTCAAAAACATTAAATCATCTCGATTGCCAAAAATTCTGATTTTTCGCAGATAACTAAGCTCGACGAATAAATGCAAAATATTCGAAGGTCCTATTCTAAATATCAGCAGCACAGTATTTGAGCTACCGTACCCTATACATGTAAATAATCCTATTCAGGCTATTGTTTGAGTCGCCTTATGAATTTTTCAATAACGGCGAGTTTAAAAACACCAATTTCCTTTTTATAACTTAGCAGTTTTCTTTGATTGACTTAGGTCTTAGAATAATTCATTTTCACGTAATAAATGTCAAGTGTGTCCTCTGAGACGCAAGGCCGGAGAGTAATGCGAGTTCGCGCATTGAGTCAGCCATGCGTCTGTCTCATCGAGTTAATCCTGCACAGTGACGCTCCTAGAACACATCGGCCTCACCACACTCTGTTCAATACTTCGTCATCACCACACAAACAATTTCATTCTTAAAATGGCCCAGCCATAGGATTAGAATATGGCAAAAGGCCCTTCAACAGGGTGTTGGCCACAAGAAGAGCTATAGCACACACCCTCATCCCGAAGCGGTCGTCTCTAGACTGGCAGCGACTGAGCGCCAGCGCGCGTTGAACGGCGCTGCGCAGACGCCGAGCAGCCCCAGTGCGGAGGAAAAATGGAAAATGTCCCCCATCTCAATACGACGCAATTTTCCGGAACTGAACACTCAGTCGATAATGATGAGACATATGTAGATGATTCGAAATTAAAAGAGAAATGTTCTGAGTATTAGGTCACTTAACTGCAACCGGGTATGGATAAATCAATTTTGAAACGGAAATTACGAGATAGTAAGAAGGGCGGAGCGAAAAATGGAATTTGAGAGGAACTGGATGGCGTAGGTTGTGGTCGCTGAGGCTGAGCGCTCCACGAAAATGGAATCTCGGCAAACGCTAACTTCAAGCACTGTGAAAACATGGAACCCCAGCGAATGAGGCACTCAAATATGAAAAAAAACATTAAATCTCTGCAAGCGTTACCCTCAAGCTCTAAAAAAACATGGAATGTCACGCACTGCGAAATTGAGGCTTTAATAAACCACGTACTTCCTATAAACGCTGCATTCAAGCTCCGATGAAACACGGAATCTATGTAGAATATTTTTCCTCGACAGCATAGCTCTCATCTAATTTTCTTGAAAATTCAGCAGGCTATTATCTGGCCCCCGAGAACCGGCTGACTCTAAGAACAAACATCTTTCAACTCCACTAAGTAGAAATTTCGGTTGAGCGCAGAGCGTGTAATGCGACTTGCAGCGGAGAGATTACGGCGCCAAGTGGTCTGTAAGATATTGCCTACTTACTGGAAGCCACCAGCAGCGGTAAATTATATTAAGGAGTAAGGGAACCTAACGCTCACTCTCACAACCCGAGACATGATTGCGGTCGACACTACGACGTGGAACTTGCCGCACATGGAGTGATCCGGCATCACACGTGCCTTTGAAATTAAAGTAACAAAAATAACATGCATGCTGGAAAAATAATGCAAATGGATCGTCTAACAGTGTGTATATCAGGTTCCAATTTAAGTGCTTCTTTAATATGGGTATTGACTGTAAAGGTCAATTACTAGCCAAAGACTGGAAAGGCAATATCGCAAACAGAGGGACAATGCTAGTCGACTGTTAACTTTTTTTTGCACCGTTTAATACTACAGTAGAACCACGGAAATTGAACGGAACGGAACTCGATAACGCGGAGTCATTGTAAAATATTAGCAAAATCGGGACTGATGTTAGCAATATCGAGGACGACGCAGCTGTTTCCGATTATGTCTAGCTTTGGTTTATTTCACGGCTAGACCTTCAAGGTTAGAAAATATTTTCAAGGTAAATAACCTCTGTCTATTGCTGATATATTATCGGACTCTGGCAACAAGCATAATTGCAAATCAATCCAGATAATACCGCGGCCGCGGAATGCAAACACAGGAATGCAAAAAATAGACCTAATATCAGGCTGGAGACAATGGCGTGACTAATGATGATTAGTTCACGAGGAAGTTGTACTGAAGCTACACTAAATGCAAGCGCTATCTAATCGCCAAACTAATGTTGCTGCGGATAAAGACGGAACGCAAAGGCTAGCCAAAGCAAATCGTTATCGCGGCTTAGTTATGTCAGAGCGCAAAAAATTCAACATAAAAATGAATTATTTCGTAAAGAAATGGCTAGGGAGACATTTTCAATCATGTGCCTTTTCTACAGAAAATGCACAAATCTCAAACATTTTTCAGAAAAGTTGTTGAGGTAGAAAATGGTGAAGTATAAACACGGTAAACATTTAATTTCATCACGTTAACCGCCCAAATTTCGTATAATGAAGGTGTAAAATTATGTATGCAACACTCAAAGGAAGTGTGTAAGAAGGGAGTTTCCTGAAACTAGGAAGCAAATTCCAGCATTTTATTTTTTAAAAAAATTAAGGTGTTCTATTAAGGTTTATATAAAAATAAAGTGTAACTATGTAACTATGAGTTTTCGTGTCGCTATTCATGTAGGAATATGATCATGATCAATAATGTGAACGAGCCAATTAAGGGCTGTAGAAGCATAATTCTGAGAAGACTCGAGAGCTGCTCGACGGTCTGGCAGCACCGCGCCTGCTTCTGGCAGGCTTCCAACAGCGAGGGCTGCACCAATTCGTAGCAGTGAACATTCAACCAAAAATAAACTTATAATCAATATCAACAAAATAGATGCTACCTATGAATTTACTGATTTGAAAAGTGAACAATTAAGAAAATATAACTCGGTACTCACTGCTGTGAGTCACAGAGAGCGCATTTTCTCGTCGACGAAAACTTGAGGTCACGGACAGACGGCCGGACATGACGAGCACAACAGGGCATTTTTTCCATAAATGAGAAAATGCGCTAAAAATACGAAGTTGCATCGCAAATTCGGTTGTCAAATACAGATGAGCTTGCAAATAAAATATTATACGAGGATCAATGCAAAATAATACAAAAAAAAATCTTGAAAGAGGCGAATAAATACGAAATCAAATGTGAATACAAATAATTTTATGAAAAATAAATTCCGTGAAAAAATAATCGATGACTTCACCGTGGTCTACCGACCTCAAGCGGTGCCTGATCGAAGCAATAATGCATATGAAAAATAACAAATAATGAACAAATGAGGGGAGACTATTTTGGCCCACATTCTTCTGCGAGGGACAATGAATAAATTTAGCTCCCATATAATCAGCGAGTAGTCGTCTCATTTTCAAGCTCAAGTTGAACCTGTTGGCATGATCATTTATCGAGGAAAGTAAGTGAAGCAAATTACTTAATAACATACACAAGTTCTGCATAAACGTTTCATTCTGCTTGTGACCTTTGCGAAGAAGGGTTTGCGGATATATGTATTATACACACCTATACATGCATGTACATAGTGTTTATATATGTTATGTAATCCAAATAAGATTTAGACTTTAGAGTTATCTCAGAATGAGATCATGACTTCGCTTGAAAAGTCTTTAGCACCATCTTAAGAGTCAAGCGCGAGTTTTTTCCGAATCATGAATTAAATTTTACGAATTTTTCAAATTTTATTAAATGCAGAATTGTATGCAATAAATCAAAACAACATCGTAGAAACATCACTGCGCCTCGTGAGCAGCATATAGAGACAGCGTCTCGATAATATA